GGTGGTACTTCTTAGTGCTGTGGTTTGGATTCAGAATGAGAATAGAGTTGATAACAGTTGGATGTTGGGGTTGCACTACTTAGCAACAGCCAGAAGTACTGCAAGTCAGGAGGGGCTCAAGAAGCTGTGAGGAAGCAAGACCAGGACAGCTGACCTGAACTGGCCAAGAGGATATTTTATACTAGCATGTCATGCCCAGTACATAAACTGGGGGAAGCTGGCCAGGAGGCATGGATCACTCATCACTCAGGCTGGGTATGTTTGCATGTTGTATTGTGTATGATCACTTGCTTATCTTGGGGTTTATTTTTGTTGTGTTCCTATATGGTGCAATTATTATGTTTCATTTCAATTCTGTTCTTATTTCAACCCATTGCTTTTATCTTTCCTCATATTCTCCTCTCCATCTTACGAGGGCACGTAGGATGCAGTACTTAGTTACTGGCTGGGCTTAAACCTCAAGACACAGGGGTTTAAGTCTCAAAAGTTTTCCGCAGGACCCTAGTATCTCCAATGCTCCCTACTCTGAAAGGAACCAAGGTAAGCCTAGGGCAAATTATTTCCTATTTTGTCAAGGTAAGATGAAACACAGATATATCAACAGCTGCATATTCTTCAATGATCTTAAGACTATTTAAAAATCCTTTACTTTCCAATCAACTTTCCAACTTTCAAAGTAAGGTCTAAGCATTTATTTTATTAATTCATCTCTTCCTTTCCACAAAAAAAAAAAAAAAAAAAAAAAAAGACTGAACTTCATTTTGGGACAGATATTAATCATTCTTCACCTGTCACTATAAAACTAGTACCATTGTTGCTGGGAGAGTGCTCCTTAAGTTATGGAGAACTCCAGTTTCAGGGAAAAAGATAATGTTTATTGGTCTGGTGAGAAGCTCAGGGGTAAGAGCACACATGAGTACTTCAAGTTTTCCCACCCAAAACAGTTCAGTTAAACAGTAAGGCTGTCCTAGCACAGGGGCCCTCATTGAACTTCACTTACCACTGTTTTCAGTAATATAAGAATCAAAAGTGACATCAGCTTCAAAAAGGGGGAAAAAACCAACTTTTACTTCAGCCCCATCCAAATTCTACCCTCCCTACATTATTAACATACCCATTACTTCATCTATTTTACAGCCCACATATCAGTCATATTTCAAATATTTTTAAATGGAGATAGGTCATAATTTGCAAAGTAGTATTCAAACACAAATGAAAATCTCAGAAAATTCCCAAGAAAACTGCTGGAAAGGCTCTGTATACTTCTCCTGTTCCTTATACTGGTCATCCTCAGACAGAATACTGAACGAGGCAGACTTTGTCCCACTCAATACAGCCATTCTTCTGAGCATCAAACACCACTTTGTCCTCCGGAGCCTGCAGGAAGTTTGAGACAATGGCAGAGAAGTACTGTCTTCATAGCCCTGATAGCTCAACTGGACTATCAACTAAAAAGCCACATGATGTTTGAGAGGAAGTAGAATTCATCATTCTAATTGTACTTTTCCAGTTTATATCCTCTGAGGGAAATACAAGTGCAGACAAGCAAAAATGCTCCTAAAACCAGTTGTAACATCAAAAAATAAAGAATGCAAATCATCAGACGTGCATTTACATAGCATATAAAGCCTCCATGTGTACTTCAGTCATCTGAAATTACTATTTTTCTGTTAAATTCTGTCATACTCCAGATGATAGCTCAAAGATTGTCCTCCGGGACAAAGGGAGGGAGTATGAAGAAAAGCTACCAAAGTCAGGGCTGAACATTCTTCAGTATAAAGGATAACTTTCCTTGGGTAAAGTCAAACACTTGCTGATTCTACTGTGTCCATGTTTGAATGTCCTATGGAAGGCTTTTCTTAACCAACTGATTTCATTTTGATGCTGGTTTTTAATTGGCAGAACACATACCCCAAACTTTGTATGGCAAATTTATACAGTTAAGAGCTTTCCTGCAGGAAAGATGGTAGGAACCCCAACACCAGCACACCATATAGCTGCAGCCACAGTCACACACAGGATGGCAGCCAGACAGCACAGCTTATACTGAAATTCCTGTTCACTGGGATCTGATACTTCAGGCAGGTGTCACAGCAGCACTGGCAGTCACATAGCAGTGTGGGTGCTGTGGCAAGATAACCACTGCTAGCTTAGTTTCACTCACTTGCAACTCTTGATTATAGATCACAGCCTTCACCAGTAAGACAAGTTCTTCAGCAACACAAAACCTCCCACCTTAATAAGGACCTTGTTACTTCAATAGTAGCAAAGCATTTCTGCAGAGCTACTCTCGAATTTTCCATGCGGTTGCAAGGTACTTCTCTTGCTTTTAAGCTCAACATTTGTTTAATTACTAAGTCTCTGCTGGTTTTGCCCAGTTACTAAGACCGATAAATGGCAACATTCCAGAACAGTTTGTTTAACCACCGATTCCTTGGACCACAGCCCAACAGCCATGTGACACTTCTAGCTCCCCACTAATGATGGTTAGTGCAAGACTTCACTGGACTAAAACACAAAAGCAGCAAAATGCTTTCATGCTGTTTACTGCACAATCTTAAAGCTTTGAATTTAACAATCTGTTTTGAAAACCCAGTGAAATGCTTTTGCAGAGAAATCCCATGCCACACGTTCCAAATTTGTCACACAGTAACTTTCCAAAACTACACCTCCTTATCTCACTTGTATTAAACGTCACTTCAGAAAATGTACCAGAACCAAATCCACAATTGGTTTGAAAACATATTAACCCCCTCCCACAAGGCAAAAAAGCCTTTTCCACCTTAAAATTTATTATAAAAATGACCTTCCTACATAATTTTCACTGGCGTTATAAACCAGTTCCTCTGGAACATGTCATGGTTAAAACAGTAATTCACTTTTGTAAACACTTAACTCCCTACATTACTAATACAATTTTTTTTTTAATTTGCTTCCTATTTTCAGTAGCTCTGAAGTACAGGATTGTTCCTTGAGAAAGTTCTACAGCTCAATATTGAATATGCCTTACCATTGGGCACATCTACCTTTTTTATATGCTGAGGCCAATCTTTTTTAAGATTTAACACTCTGAGACACACCTCCACCACATTGATATGCAGTAACTTCTATTTCCTGGCACCCTTTATCTGCTGCCAATCCTACCTCCCAGACCATCCCCAGCTAATGTTCTAGAACACACAGAGCAAGACTATCATGAATACTTTGGGTACCTGGAGTGCCACCCACAACCCTGACCCTTTAGTCTTCTATTTCATCCCCAACATCACAAGAAAAACTCACTTTCACAAAGTTCACTGCACACATATAGCATTCTCTTTAAAAGTTAATATTCTGTATTAGCATCAGCCTAAAGGATAAAGATGGTACCTTTATTCTCAAAAACACATGCTGCTCCTCTGACCCTGTAACAAAGCCACGTATCTGAATACCTAGAATGTACTTAGCAAATATTGCTGCTCTATTAACCATCTCTGCTCTTTGACATCTTAACATCCAGAAGAGGACTGACAACTTCTGGACTTACCAGCCAAGCAGCTCTACTAGATGCTGTTAACAGCACCCACTTTTTGCAGATCTGCAGTGGGCAGAAGACTGAAACTAATCTTACCTTCTGACTTCTTGAGTAGTCAGTAGTTTCTGTCTTGGAGCCACTCAAGCACAACACGAAGCTTTGTGTGGCCAGTACCTGCTGCACCAGTCAGCACAAGGCCACACTGCCTCCACAGCCCTTGAGAAGTACAAGCAGTCAAGAACACCGTGATCATCAGGTGTGATCCACAGCTGATGTGCAACATCCATGACTTTAACATCCTCATCTTTATTTAAAAGCATGTACAAAACATGGCACATGAAAATATACACCATTCTCACAAACATTTGTTAACAGAAACAACTATTATTGAAAGCAATGAAGAGAAAGCTATTTTATAGTTTATTTCTGCATATCTTGATATTCAAAAGATTGACTTACTATTCCTTGCTCAAAAGGAGCAGTCTTTAGCCAAAGTATCTGGTCACTGCTTAATAAGCAAACTATAGGAGATGCTCAGTGAGCCAATACACTCCTGAGGTCCAGTAAGATCCTTAGTATCCACTTCAGTAGTCTGATAGACACTTATTTTTGACATTTCCAATGTCTCATGTGTTGTTCCTGGTAGTGTTTATACTTCGTATTACTTTGACAGAAAATTGAACTTTACATGGAACATGTCATTGATGAACAGGTATCCCCATGATCTACAGGGTTGCTTTATGTATTCTGGATGATTTCAAAGTGATTCAGTAATAGTAGGTCTATGAATTTTGAATTACCCTACTGTCATGTTTCTGCAGTTATAAAAAATTCCTGACAATAAGGCTTGAAAGTCAAGCTTCAAGGCAAATTTTACCTTGATGTACCTTCAAATTTACTTGGTGACCAATTTATGATCCTTCATTCCTCTGTGGAAGGGACAGTTTGCTGAATACAGCAAATATGCTACTACTGTGATTACAGCACCAGCTCTTTTCAAGTGACTGTTCAAAACTGTTTTAGGTTCCAAGATGAAGCTGGGGATGTGCACTCTATTTGCCATCTGTTAGAGGTGGGGCAGTTTTCTTTATCTCTTCCACAACCAATGCTCCTTCCAGGAAGATATCTTCTATTAACGGGCCTTTGAGTCTCACTGCATGACTGAGAAATTTACATAATCCCATTTTGAGATGCTCCACCCAGAGGGAGGAGCCAAGCATTCCCACCTGGATATAATCTGAGACTTGGAACACCAGCTTTCTCCCTCTGGTTCCCAGAGGAGCAGCCGCCTTCTTCATAGATTCCCAGAGAAGACCAGGCCCATCTACACCACCACTGCACCTTCAGAGGAAAACTACAGCCTTGTACAGGATCACTGCTCCAACAGAACCACACCTGACACTCCAGGAGGATGGCAGCCACCATTTAATCGTGCTGCTACCAACACCCTGACCAACAGGGTTGCCAGGCTGTATTCTGACTCTGTCAGTGTTGTTTTGTATTACTGCATTTTTATTTTTACTTTTATTTTTCCTAATAAAGAACTGTTATTCCTAGTCCCATATCTTTGCCTGAGAGCCCCTTAATTTCAAAATTATAACAATTCAGAGGCAAGAGGTTTATATTATTCATTTCAAGGGAGGCACCTGCCTTCCTCAGCAGACACCTGTCTTTTCAAACCAAGACAAAAGCCCAAGTTCCAATGTATGTAACTTTCTTTTCCCTCTCTTTTACCAACCTCTTTCCCCCAGAGAGCAATCGAAGTACTGTTGCCAGCGTATTCCTCAAAGGGCAGTTCCACCAGTGTGGTACTAGTCTTCTGCTGCTGAAGTGGCAGCCCATAGAACCCCAACTCCTCACTAGGATACAGTGATGCAAGCTGTAGACATTGTCTTTTGCTTTGCTTTCACCCCGTCTTTACAGGGCCTGCCTGTGAGCTCCACTCCTGAGTTACCACAGATCTCTAGTATCTGCAAGACTGTCTACCCATATGGTATTAAAAAGTCAAGGAGTTTTCCAGGTACTCCTTTCCCTAATATCACTACTATACTTCCTACAGAAGACAGTTCACTATTTTGGAAAGATGGTGTTTTAAACATGCAGAGACAGTATCTATTAAACAAAATGGCAGGTGTTTCAGCAGGCTTTTAAAAGCATGGCATCCCACTCCAAGCCACTAATCTCTTCAGGTGTTACACTTCCTCCTGGTTACATCATCCACATCTGTCAGGCAGTTCTGACAAAGTAGTCCAGCTCATCACTGAAAAAGGAGAACAAGATCTAAGTAAAATGGTTCATTCAAGGTAGAAATTTTTATTTGCAACACCAGCACACAACAGTTTGTATTAGCATGTTGCTAACTCTGAGAAAACAAAAACAAACCAACAAAAAACCTAAACCCACAAAGACTAATACTTCTCAGAAAGTTTAAATAAAGTCTTTTGGTCTCGTCTCAGATTCCGGATCCGTATAAAGTTTTTCAACAGGAATTCAGGTTCGGGATAGGATCATCACAGATGAGACAAAAGTGATACATGAACAAAAAATTTAGTAGGAAATATTCTATTAGGTTTCTGATTGCTTAGTTTCTGTATTAAAATTTCTAACATTTTGTTATATTTCAGTAATAATGTAAATTTATTTAAAACTTTTCATGTAGGTTTGAAAGCTAAGCAAGGTTAGGCACAGCTATCAACTCACACTGTGCCCTGGGGAACAAGTGTTTTGTAAATGCCAACTATGACTTACATATCAATTGATCAATTATGTTCGTAACTATCATGATGCAAAAGGATCTGAACTGTAAACACAATTACTTTAGACTTAGAACCATAAAATGTTTAGAAGCTTTTCAGTTACATACCTGAATAAGCCAAAAGCACTTGTTTCTACTTGTTTTCTATGAAATGCATTTTCCTGTAAAAAAGACATTTATTAGTTCAGAGAAGTTGTCTTTCGTCACTCAAAATACAACTTGCCATCTATTTAGCCTCTCATACAGACCAAACTGCATTATTCAACATGTGCTGCATTAGTATCAGCACACTGCAAGTTCTGTGAAACTTCACTCAGAAGTGTAGTCATGTCACAGTAAGATTTGTTTTGCTTCTCTTGCCCAGCTACTGCTCAACCTGGGTATGAACTATGATAGGAAGGGGGAATTACACTTGATTATTAGGATATCTGGCGATTTGTACATCAGGATTAAAAATATTTATTGGAATTCATACCTTCTACTCAGACACAGCATTCAAGCATCTCTGCAAAGACTGCACTGGTTAGTTAACACTAACAAGGTTTGCTACTTCCAACTTTCTCTAGTTCAGCCATGGAAGTCACTTCCCTTCCTACTTGCAGTAGTGCCTGGCTAAACAATACAGCATCTTCTATGCAGCACTGCTGCACAAGTTTCACTTGTACATTTGAACTTCACATACTAGAACAAAACCTGTTGTTCAAAAGGAAGTACTGGTAGCTAACAAAGTATTTAAAGGTACCTTTCTTGAATAAGGAGTAGAATAAAGTTACAGATGTGTAGCAACACAGGAAAATGAAAAGTTCTCACTCTCTATGTTTTAGCTTTTTAACTAAAACCAGCCTGTGGTAAAACACCAATGCAGTAAAGAGAATTTCACTGAAAATTATTAAGTTCAGATACTTAGGTGGGAACGAAGTTCTTGCAGAAACCACTGCTATTGTTCTTAAAGCACAGTAAGCATTTGTGAGCATTCTTTTTGCTTGCTTCAAGTACATTATACCAGCCCTTGTGAAGTGCTTTATCTCTAGAGCTGAAAGAGCTTAATTTAGAATTCACTACAATTTACCATCAAATGCCATCTTTGTCATTAACATGACTTTTCCTAAATGCTCACATCTGAGCCCTAAATTGAAGTGCAAACATCACCACTAGTTTTCAAACACCACCAACACTTCCTGACCATACCTGACTAGTGCTTGTTATTTACCCACTATAAGGCATAATAGCTTAAGTCTAACACTTCCTCTTCTCTGCTCTTTTAAGATGCAAGAGTCTGCAACAGTACTTATTTGTGTCAACACAGACCTGAGGTGGGTTTCAATAATGCACCAACATTCTTATTCACAGCGTGGTGCACGCTGGCACCTCACTTGTACACAGCAACAGCATTAAACCAACACCAACTCAGATGATTTATGATTGAAAAATTGTAAGTGGTTTGATCTCAGTACCCAAAGCCATATGAAGTTGCTCATCAATGTACCAGGTTGGGCAGTTTTAGCATGACTCACCATTATCCACAAGTATCAACAACAAGAACTGTAGCACCACTCATACACTCATATATTCCACAAGACAACCCTCACCTCTTCCACTAGCAATGTACTAAAAAAGGAATAAATTATCAACAAAAAATGCCTAGGGTTCAATCAATAAATATTACCTGTTTTATTTCCTGTTGCAAGGAAATCTTTCTTCAGGACACGTCACATTGCCATTACTAGAAACTGTTCATGCCACTCTAGAAATTTGAGTAAAATCCCACATTACAACAAGTTCACGTATAATGTAACAAGCCAGTAAGAACAACCAATTTCTACTTTTGTAACAACTGGTTATAAGCATTTGAGTAAAATTTAAATGAATACAGATCCTGGAGTTCTTTCTTTTGTTCCTTCAAAGTAGTGAGGACAACAACTACACATTAAAACAGTGAATACACATTTTTATTGAAATATGGGAGCATTTGCTTATTTATATTAATAAGCATCCAGATGTACTGGTTTTTTTTGACTACACTGTTTCATACTTATTTCCCAATAAAATGCAAATTCACAATTAAAAGCTAATCTGAAGTAAACTTTAAAATTAGTATGAACATTTCAGGACAGGCATTTTACCAGCTCCTTCAACAAATACCTATTCCAACCCCCCAGACCACACAGTTCTAGACCATGTCAAAGATGCCCAAAATTACGATACCTCAATTTTACAGCTAATGACAAAACTACTAATTTAATCCCATGCATCTTCTTCTAATCCATTTATTGTTAATTTATCCCCACTGATAATTTAGAACATACATGTTTTTCAGGAAAATCCACTTGTGTGTACCAAGTATTCTTCTACTTCTGATGGTCCTTCCATGAAGTGCTGAAATTAAAGATAAGCAAAATTATCTTTTAAACTAGAAAACATCTCTTGCTGTGGTCTAGCATAATCTCTCATGTTACTATGTCAGAAACATAATCACCAAGCACTAAAAAAACTGAAGTTTTCATACAACAATTTAATACTCTTCTGGAACAGGTAAAATACCTGACAAGGTGAAATTTCGTAAGAAAAAGAAGTCTAACTAAGAACTAACCTACAGACTGACTAACTCAAAGAGCATCAAACACAAAAATTATCAAATAATTACTTATCATTTTGATGGCAGTTATGAAAATGCAATGTAGTTTTTCCTTTCTGTCCCACTCAGTAGCCATATAAAACTGACAACTCTCTGGCACTTCCCATACTTTGACAGACAAAAAACCCAGAAACCACACTATGGAGCACAGGTATTTACTGACTTGGTCAAAATCAGAAATGCAGTGTTACTTCTAGAGCAACATTAAAAATTACAGAGCTGTTACCTTAGTGTATGATGTACTTGGCACCACTGAAAACCTCCTCTCCATCAGACCTAAAAACAAACATGGACAGCCTTACAACTTGAAAACTTGAAATCAGCAGACTCATATTACTAAGCCACACACATTATGAGGCAATAATCATCAACACAATCACTAGAAGCAGCATGCTAAGTACTAAATCACAAGCTCGCAGAAGAAAAGCAGCAAGAAATGCAGTTTTAAGCAACAAAGGAGTTTCAAGTTACACCCACGTGAAATTGCTTATGAAAAGCATTGTAGAAATAACTGCATGTCCCCACTGTTAAACCTCAGTCCAAAGACCTTTTAAGGAAAGGTTTTAATCACTTTTAAGAACTGATTTCAGTTGGTTTAGAGAATTGCTTTGACCACGTAGCAATTACCAAAATCCACCAACTCTAGCATTTCAAGAAATGCATGACAATACATTATCACTTGAATGTGCTTATTTAAAGTATCTCACCCTGTACTACAGACACAATAAATGCATTGAGCCATAAAAGATAACCTATCAAGCATTTTGTTTCATATCACAAAAACAATTAAAGCCATAGAAAGACTCAAGTTAAGCTTCCACTTCTTGCATGCAGTAAACTTTATGCTGAGTGTAATAAACTCAACAATCAAGGGTTACTAATGGTTTAAGTTCCAAAAATTTACTGTTCAGTAATCTAATGTGTGACTCAGACTGTTAGACAAGCTAATTAAACACACAATGAATGCACCTGACAACTCCCTATGTAAATCCACCCACATTCTCATATTTGTTCCCAGGTAAGAGCCTGGAATCGTAGATATATTTAATGGTATTTCCCATTCTTTTTGAAGTGCTATGGGTTCAATGACATCAGCATTTCATAAAGGTGACAAAAAGGCATCTTAAGCACACAAAGGGCTTCTGTCAGTGCTTTGGGGTTGTGGTGGTTTACTTTTATAACAAATCTCTCTTTATTATGCTGTGCCATTGTCTTAAAAAAGAAAGAAAACATAATTAAGTTGGAACACAATCTTATGATTTCCATCAGGTATCACCTAAATGTTGTGGGTCTTTCTCCTTGGGACGCTATGTGCATTTCAGAGTACTTCCACAAGTCTGTGGCTGAGCCCTCCAAAAAGAACTACGGGTAACACAAGCGTGTGCACCAACCCTCTGCCACATGAACACGGTGGTTTTGCCTCATGCAGCGTTTTATGCACGAACCCCGAGGTGTGAAGGCTGTCGCAGGGCGCCAGGGGTGCCGCAGCCGAGGCTGAGGGGACGGTAGGGCAGCACCCCGCACCGCCACGGCCGGCGATCAAAATGGCGCGGGCCCGGCAGCGCCACGCGGGTCACCGCCGCCTACCGCTCCCAGCCTGCCCCGCGCCTCGGCATGCGGCTTCCGCCAGGGAGCCTCCCGCGGGGCATGCTGAGAGATGTAGTCCTCTCTAAGTCCCCTCGCACCTCCGCGGCTCTCAGCAGGGCACCGCGCACGGGCGGCTGCGGCCCCACAGCTGGATTAGGGTCGCCTTTTGCCTGGCTCTATTCGCGCCTCCAAGGGTGAGAGCTTCACCTGCCGGCTCCAACCTCAAGCACTACGCGACGGGCACTGCGGGCGATCCTCCCAAACGTCCAAGCAGAAAGATGAAGCCATCCCCCCTCCCCGCCGGGGCAGCGGCAGACACCGCATCCCGCCCGGCCTTACCGTGTGCCGCCATTGCAGGCGCTCCGCAGGGAAAGAGAGGGCGTGGTGCGCGCGAGCCAGCTTTATATGTACGCTGCGGGGTGGGAACGAGGCTGGCCACGCCCCCTGTCGCGCGGGCCGAGGGGCGGAGACGCCGCGCGGCGCAGGTGCGGGGGCGCGCTTGGCTCGTGGGGGCGCCAATGCCTCATCACCCTTTCTGTGAAGAAATTCCTCCTAATGTCCAGCTTAAACCTCCCTTGGTGCAGCTTCCGTGGACTGTGTCCTCTTATCCTGCTGCTGATTCCCTGAGAGAAGAGGCCAACCCCCACGTGGCTACACACTTCTTTCAGGGAGTTGTAGAGAGTGAGAAGGTCACTCACCTCTGAGCCTCCTTTTCTCCTGGCTCAACACCCCCAATTCTCAATCACTCCCCACAGGACTTGTGCTCTAGACCCTTCCCAGCTTTGTTGCCCTTCTCTGGACTCTTGTCCTCCTTCTAGTGAGGGGCCCAGCACTGGACACAGCACTCGAGGTGTGGCCTCACCATTGAGAGCACAGGGGGACAGTCACTGCCTGGCCCTGCTGGCCGCACTATTGCTGACACAGGCCAGGTGCCATTGGCCTTCCTGACCGCCTGGACACAGCGGGCTCATGTTCAGCTACCAGCACCCCCAGGTCCTTTTCCACCAGGCAGCTTCCCTGCTGTCCCCAGAGTGAATACTTGTTTCTTATATCTGTCTTCTTTTCCTGTTCCCTGGGGCACCCAACTGGTTTACCTTGTGAAGCTATGCCTTGATGCCTCGGCTTTCCTTTGACTCTAATTAGATGTTTCTGAAACATTAACCACAGGTGCACCCATTTCTACTTTTTGGAAGTAGCATGTGATACTATATCCCTGTATAACATTGCAAGTTGTAAGAGCTGAAAAATCTCCTCCTATCCACAGCTGGCAAAAAATTAAGCTTTCTGTAGTTTTTCACTCTATACATTTAGTCTAAGGATATTGTTCCACAGTGAACCTAATAGTGGACTTTAGGAAGAACTTCTGTACTGTGAAAGTGGTGGGACACTGGAAGAGATTACTCAGAGAAACTGTGGATGTCCCATCCCTGGAAGTGTTCAAGGCCAGGTTGGATAGGGCTGCAAGCAACCTGGTCTAGTGGAAGGCTTGGCAGGGGGTGTTATTTTTATTATTTCTGGATTGTCTTTAATGTTCCTTCCAGTCCAAACCATTTTATGATTCATCCTATTCCACCACAGTTTAGCCACTTGAAGTTGTGCAGCTGTACTTTGTAAAGTGACTTAGTCTCCATCTGAATCTGCCTCCTATACTGCTGTGGAAGAGTTAGTGAAAGAAAGTCTTAGTGAAAGGTGCCTCTGCTACAGTGGGAATAACAGGAGCAGTACAGCCTAGATGATGTTTAAACTGATGGGAAACCACATCCTAAATTCTCATCTATGGAGGGTCTCACTAGCTGTTTATAAATAGTGGGGTTTTTTGTCTGTCTGTTTATTGAAAGGTTTAATATATCAATCAACTTAATTAAGGAAATAAGGGAGAAACAAAGAAAGATGAAGAAAAGCTTAAAAAAATTTTGGTGTTTTGACAAGTTACTAACAATATGACAAAAACCAATGTTCCACATATGGACTCTTTTTAGGAGGGTTTAACTGTTGGAAACAGATAAAGGAAATCTAGAGTAGTGAGTTGTAAGGTGCTAAAATACTTGGCAATTTTATTCCTAAAATTATTGAGATTTATACTACCAGGAAAACTAAATAGCTGACAAATTTTAAGCAAGTTTTGTTCTGCAGCCCATGGCAGCAGATGACACTCTTCTCTCTGCTTTTCTTCTTATACATCCTGTTTCACCTGTCTGAAATCTTGAGTGTGAGCTGCAGTTGGCTCCTTTTGTGCTGAACAGGCATGAGGAGAGAGGTCTGCAATGCTGCCTTTTTCTCTGAGTGCCTCCCACCGCAGCTGTTTCAGCTACTGTTTCTGCAGGAATGAGAGTGAGAAGCTGTAAGCATCGGGGAAGAGCTGCTCGTGCTTCAGGGAGTGCTCAGCAGCCCAGCTTGGGCACAGACAAGCAAGCAATTTATGCTGCTGTTGTCTTTCCATCTGACATATCCAAAAGGCCTCAAAACTGGTGTTTGCCACATGGCACAGAAAATGTTGAGCCACCCTTCCTTAGTGACATCAGGGCTAAAGATAAGCAAAGTAATCACAGCCATTAATCACTACTGAATTAGCCCTAAAGAAAGAAGGCAGCTCCTTACCATTCCTTTACTAAGTGCTAAATAATTCCATATTTCTACCAGTGCCTATCAAGGGCTTTTACTGCATGTTAGTCTCAAAGACTAACAAAGACTGGAATTTCTTTTTGGGGAAAAAACACAATTAAGCCCGGACTACATTACAATAAGTATAAATGAGTACAATTTTAGTTTGCATTTGATAATAAGAAGACTATAAATACTGAGGTGACTGAGGGCTGTCCAGGGCTGTGGGGTGCTCTGTAGTGTGAGCTTTGCAGGTGAAACATGGCTGAGCACCCGGTGTGGGGAGCCTCACACTGTGCAGTCCTACTGCACCCTGGCTTTGGAACTTGGCAGAGGAAGCTCCTCATCCCTCTGTTAGATTGGAGGGTACAGGTTTACTAGCAGAGCCTGAATGCACTGCTTTGCAAACCTTTTATCCTCAAAGAAGTGTGTCTCATATTTCTCAGCATCACCCAAGGCTGCTAGCACTGGGCAAGCTTGTGGGTCAAGTGAAGCACGGCTTTACTGTAGGTAGACAACAATTACAAGTCTGAAAAAAGTTAACCAAACCAAAGTAAAAATGTACATCACAAACATAGGTTCTTTTTCAAAGTAGGGTTCCTTCTTTTGCATTTCTTGCCCGTCCTTCAGGCTTCCACATCTTTAACCTATATCCCAGCTGTCTGGATGAGGGTGCAAGCTGTAGAGCAAGAACTGTTGCCACTCTCCAGAGAGATCCTAAGGCTGGTCATAAGCCTGCTTGCCATAAAGTGTTAGTTTATAGATGAGTTGCTTCTGAATTTATCTCACCACAAGGCTTCACATTCATGCACAGTGTCAGTGCTGGCAGAAGGAAGTGCTGGTTATAAGATAATGGGGATATACTGGATTGACTCTTGTGTTGGCCCACACAAATATATGTCAGCCTGGAAGTCTGGTGGTGTGACTACCTCCATTGCTTTTCAGGTCTAGGCAACTCTCTCAAAGTTCTCTTTTCTTGTCTTAAATTATTTCTTTCTTGTTTTTTCTCTTTATTTCTATCTCCCCCACCCCCACTTCCTTTCTGTTCCTCTTTTAGGTCTGGCTTCCTGGATTTTTTCCAATAGTGTTGTAGCTTGGATGACTCATGTCTCTTGGTTTAGTTTGGGGTTTATACTGGTGCATCCTTTGGGATGCTGAGTTCCCTTCCCTCTCACCTTCGCAGCAGGAAGTCTATTGTATGTAGCTTTAATTTCTTCCTTTTCAGAACAGATAGTACTCATTGCAAACTCCTGAGCTGACTTTGCCATATTTCACATTATGCATCATAAAATGCTTGAGTTGGGAAACAATTTAGCTTATGAATGTGACCCTGTTTTTAGTTTTTTGCAGATACCAAAATTTTTTATTTAAGCTTCTCAGGTCTCTCTCTTTGATTTCTTTTAGTCACTTCAGTATCACAGAAAGACAAGCATTTTAATTTTTTTTTAAATAATAAATGAGATCATAAAAAACATTAGAACAGCTGTACAGGGTCAGATCAAAGGTCTACCAACCCCCACCACCCACTAGTATCTTGCTCCCAAATGTAGCCCAAAGTAAATGCCTAGGGAGGGGAGTAGGGATAGAACGAGCACATCCTTCCTCAGGTATTTGCCCAGCCTCTGGGAATATAAAGCTCAGAAACCTCCTAGAGGGTTATTATTTTTGTGTGCATGAGAAGATAACAATCCTCCATTAATTTTCTAACCATCAATTTGTTCAGTCTTTCCCAGAACCTTTATAAAATGTTAGCATCCCCAATTACAATGGCGAGAATGGCAAGGAATACCAAAGCTGAATTAGTGTTACAGGAAAACTCATCTCCTTTAATTCGCTTTGTATCTACTTTCTGTTTACTCTTTGCACAGTTTTAGAAGAAGTAGTGGATCTTTCCCTCCACAGTCATTCCTTCATTGAGCACCCACCCCCCAATCTCTTCTTCAGGCTGAAGAAACCTCATTTATTTAATCATTCCTCATAGGGGAATCAGTTCCTACCTTTGACTGTATTCTTGCTGATCTGCTTTCGACTTCTTTTGCTTTCGGAGGTGGGACTCCCAGACTTTAGAGTCTGTTCAGGAAGCCAGTTATTGGGCTTATGCAGAGGTACCATTATGTTCTCTGCTTTCATTTTTTGTTACTTAGCACTTCTTAAACTCTGGTGTCCTTTTTTGGCTGGCTCTGTGCATGGAGCTGACATTTCCACAGAGCTGTCTGTCGTAACTGTGGGATCTCACATTGGAGCAATAAAGGCCTGAGCCCATTGTTTTGCATTTGCTGTTGTGTTTGCTTTCCTTGGTAAGCAGTGTTTATATTGATCTGTGTTGAATTTCATGTCTTGCTGTTGTACTCACTCAGGCTTTTTAAGCTCCTGCAGCTACTTTCGCATCAGCAATAAATAAATTGATTACTAGTTTTTTTTTTACCCCTCTGCATACCACCGATTTCAGATAATTCAGTGAGTTCACCAGTGTAGGTC